TTTAGCCAAGAGAATGGCTCTTGAAAGGCAGAGGTCTATGTCCGACAATCCTTATTGGCTGGGAAGAGATGGTGCTTCAATGCCTCCTATGTCAGAGATTGCCCAAGACCCATTAGCTCTGCAACCAAATCTTCAACCAGCAGCTGCCGAAAGTATTCGTTTGCCTCATTCTCAAAGTGCTGATCTCATGCCGGTCCTTCAAGGCTTATATGACAGGTCTTCCACTAGTATGAATAACGGAATAGCTGGTTGGTTAAATTTCCCTGCCCAGGGAAGCTTGCAGGATAAAGTTGACTTGCATCTTGCTCAGAACCTCCCTCCGCAAACTCCCTTTGGGATTCAGCAACAGAGACTTCAACCTCCCTTAACTAATTTGCTTGCTCATGCTGTAGATAATTCATCTACTAACTTAACGCCCGAAAAGTTACTCTCATCTGGCTTGGCTCACGACGCACAGCTGCTAGGTTTGCTGCAACAGCAACATTTGCTGCAGCTTTCTCAGTCGCATATTCCAGCACAACAATTGTCCCTGTTAGATAAACTGTTGTTGCTTAAGCGGCAAGAAGAGCAGCAGCAGCAGCAGCAGCTGCTGCGGCAGCAACAATTACTCTCTCAAGCTTTAGCAGAGCAGCAGGCTTCCCAGTTTTTGCGTGAACCGGCTTGTGCTAATTTACAGGCAGGTGCAATACCAACAGGGAATGCGTCTGGTGATCCTCGCCTTCAGCCATCTCAAGAGGTGTTTCAGGCTAGGTCAACTATACCAGTGCCCACTATGCAGGATGAACGAATTGCTAACAATGTTAATCTACCTTCAAAAGTCACAAGGGATGTTAGTCAAAGTTCTCTCTCTGAAGCTTCTTTAGCTTCACTTCTGCCACATCAGATACTTGGTAATGTGAACCATCGCAACAATTGGTCTGCTTCAGCTCCTAATCAAATCCATGATAGCTATCAGAAGGAGCCATTGCCAGCTTCAACAGTTGGTGAGAGCTCTCCATCAGAAGTTTTTGATAGGCCTTCACAGGAGCCTTCTCACCCACTGCAAACTTTTGCTGCCTCTGAAGTCCTTACTCCAGTAATTCCTGAGAAATCCTTAGATAAATCTTCAAGGACTGATGACACTACGATGGTTGCAACCTCGGAGCCAAGAAATATTGATTCTCTGCCTTCTGAGTTTGCTGAATTTGCTGATGCCGTTCCATTAGCAAGGAGTCTGGAGAATGAAATGTCAGTGGCTGATTATTCTGCTGATTTTAAGGTCGAGCCCGGCAGTTCTCTTTACAAGAAGCTGACTGAGGAAGAGTTCTCCAATGAATCTTCCAGAGTGTTGGAGGCAAAAAGTATTGAAGCTCGTGAAGCGAAAAAGACTTCTGAGAAGAAGTCCAGAAAACAAAAATCATCAAAGTCAACCTCTGCTCCTGATCAGGCCAAGGGGTCTGAAACAGCTAGTATGCAGCGGACTAAGCAGTCTGAAACTGATCGGCTACTTGGTGCCGATGCACTAGTTGAGATGTGTAGAGAGACTGGAGAAGAAGTTTATGGAACATCTCCCCAGAGAACGATTGATAGGGTCACTAGTGTAATGGAAACCATGGGGTCTCAGCAAATCAACACAACAAGCAAGCAATTAGATAATGTCGAAGCTGATATTAAGAGTGCTTCTGAGCCTAACCAAGTTGCTCCTGTTTTGGCTCAAAACACACAACTACCTTCAGGACAACGTGCTTGGAAAGCTGCCCCTGGTTTCAAGGTGAAGTCACTGTTGGAAATTCAGGAGGAAGAGCAACGGAGGGCACAGACTGAGGTGGCAGTTTCTGAGATTTCTGCAGGTATCAACTCTGTAAATTTTTCAACTCCATGGGCTGGGATTGTTGCCAGTTCAGAATCTAAGATCTCCAGAGAGGGATTAGAAGATGCAGACAACTCTGAGTTTATTGTGGCTAAAAGTCAAAGTTCCATTGACCCCAAGAATAAAAAGAGTCAGTTACATGACTTGTTGGCTGAAGAAACATCTGGAAAGTCTAGTCAACGAGAGATGGAGATATCTGATCAGAAACATGGTTCATTGTCTCAGCAAGTTGCAGCCAGTCAAGTGGAGACTCTGGATGATGAGAACTTTATTGATGCAAGAGAATCTAAAAAGAATCGTAAGAAGTCGGCAAAATCTAAGGCTGCTGGATCTAAGAACCCAGCTCCTGTTACTTCTGCTGATGTCTCTGTTGGTTCTAGTCCTGTTGAGAAAGGTAAAAGCTCTAGGATGGTGCAGCAGGAGAAGGAAGTATTGCCGATGATCCCATCAGGGCCGTCTTTGGGAGATTTTGTTCCCTGGAAGGAAGCGACTAATTCTCAGCCTGCACCAGCATGGTCTACCGACTCTGGGAAGCTTATTAAACCAACATCTTTAAGGGACATCCTGAAGGAGCAGGAAACTAAGGTTGCTGCTGGCCAGCGCCAAAACCAAATCCCGATTCCTCAGAAATCTCAACCAGTTCCATCTACCCATACTTCTTCACGGTCACTTTCTGCATCTTCTCCATCTCAGGCAGCATCTCCTCTCCAGATTAACTCCAGTGCTTCCTCTAAGCCTAAGTATAAAGAAGATGATGATCTATTTTGGGGCCCGATTGACCAATCAAAGCAAGATACCAAGCAGTATGTCACTTTCTCGTGTGTTTATCAGTTCTTGACTTAATATGTGCTCGTCTTCTGCTTTCTATTTAATGCCATCTTTTGTGATACTTGCAATCCTTTGCTGCGCCTCCGCACACACATATAACTAGAGCAATCAGGGTAATGTTTAGCTCCAGTATAATTGGTTTTATTATTTTCAGTTCTATGTATTCTGGAGGATGTGTAATATGATATAGTAGTGTGTTCTGCATTCATTTGCTGACAAATAGGAGTCATTATCAATGCGCCACTCTCTCTCTCTCTCTCTCTCTTTTCTGAGTGAATCAAAACTGTATCCAGATTTGATTTGAACCTCTTGTTAATTTATATACTAGAGATGTGAGAGTTACATTGATTGAACAAACCTTGTGGGACAAGCTCTCGTAACCAGCAATTGCTTGGGGAAAAATCCATTCGGAAGAGAAGAGTCGAGTTCACTGTGAACAATGTACTTTTCTTTGTTCAGGTCTATATATATATAGGTAGTTGTCTTCAGAGCAAGAGACATGCTCTTGAGTACCTTATAAACTTCTCATATTGATTGGTTAAGGAAGAACCTCGTTATGGAATAAATTAGTATTTCTGGGAATAAGACATGGTAAATCTGGATGCTGACGCAGATTTGTCGATTAGTTTCTCAAAGGAATTCACAATTGTATATAATGTTTGGATGCCATATTTGTTTTGGGGACCTGTGTCGAACATGGAGACAGAAATGAAAAACAGTTTGGTTTTTATCTTCTACTTTTATATCTTGACAATGTAGTTTACTTGTCCTTTCCTCTTGTGTTGATTACCCTGTACGTTTTGTTGTATTGGTTTCTTATAGGAAGATATTATTGCCATTTTTTGCCTTGCTGATACTGATGCTTATTTCATGGTCAATCTGGGCAGAGCCGAATTCCCTAAACTTGCAAGTCAGACAAGCTGGGGAACAAAGAACACTCCTATCAAAGGAACTCCAAGTGGGTCATTTAGTCGGCAAAAATCTGTTAATGTCCGACCTGTTGAACATACTCTTTCGTCCTCACCTGCTTCTGGGCAGACATCTTTAAAGGGAAAAAGAGAAGCCATGAATAAACATTCAGGCAAGAAATTTTTTGAGAGGCTCTTTATTATCTGTCAGTAAATTGACTCAACTGATATTCAAGTTTTGAATACCTCTTGCAGAGGCCATGGACTTCAAAGATTGGTGTGAAAGTGAGTGTGCGAGGCTTCTTGGGACTAAAGGTACTTCCCCGCACTTTTTACAGTATTCCCTTAAAGTTTAATTTGGTGGTAAATGAAACAAAAGATTCTCAGCAAGAGAGTGAATGAACCTTTGCAATGACTGTTCAATTTCCAGCCTATGCAACGTTTTCTTTACCAGTAATGGCTTATTAAAGAGCATGAAACTTCATAATAAAAGGACCTCGGTGCATTCGATCTTGTTATTGTACGAAAATATCGTTCACTTCATATTTGCAGAGATCTACATCCATTTGAGTTTGTTGCTGTCATCTTTATTTTTCTGTAGATACAAGTTTCCTGGAATATTGCTTGAAGCAGTCACGATCGGAGGCTGAGATGCTTTTGATTGAGAATCTTGGATCCTTTGATCCCGATCATGAGTTCATCGACAAGTTCCTGAACTACAAGGAATTATTACCTGCAGACGTACTTGAAATTGCCTTTCAAAGTCGGAACGATCGGAAGGCCCCTCCCATTGGTGCCGGCGATGTGAATTCCGATGATGTAGGGCAGCTCGATTCCTTAAGAGGTCCCGATGGGCCTCCAAAAGGAGGCAGCAAGAAGAAGGGGAAGAAAGGGAAGAAGGTCAGCCCTTCAGTTTTAGGATTTAATGTCGTCAGCAACCGGATCATGATGGGCGAGATCCAAACGGCCGAAGAGTAGTTGGGTTTGATGAGTTGGATGTAAATATATGTTTTGATTGAATGGTCGAAGAGTACACGGCCTTCTTGTCAGATTTCAATGGCCGACCCTTTTTGTTCTTCCTTTTAGAGCAACAGCTGCGGCACTAATTTAAACCTGCTCCAGCGATTTTGTGCACTGTGTAGTTTAGTCATTTTAGCTGTGTCAAACTTGTAACTTTATTTCAAGGGAACTCGTTTCCTTTCTGTTCTTGGAATGTTTTGAAGCTCTTTCGGTGTGATATATCCGCAGACATGCTCTGCCCATGTCAATCAGAATCTCGTGTTTCTTCATGTAAAATTAACAACACGGCATTCAAAATGACGTGCAGTTTTCAGAGGGCGAACGAGGACAAGCAGCGTGGAGATGGCAAAGTTAATTTTTGCGAAATTCCACGACCAGTAAAAAGTTGCTTCGTACGCAAGAATTTTCTTGAAGTTTCCGATTTGTCAATAACTACAGTAAACCCTAATGTCCAGCTGCAGACTATCACATTAGCACAGCGACTAGCCTCGACTTGTTTCATGGATATTCGACATGCACCGGAAAAAACAAAGCTTCGCTGATTCTGTTGATTCATATTCTCTTTCCTGTATTTACACTGCCTTTCTTTTGTTCTTTGTCGACGTATTTGCTATTCAATAAGTAGTAGCTGACTCATGACATTCCGTGATCTCCACCTTCTTGTTCCCTCTTCAAATCTGCAGGTGGCAGAAAGCAATCCATGGACAACCCACATATGTTGAAGTCCACCTCCTCGATCCTCCAAGTCTCCTCGATCTTCCGCTTGTGATTCTGCGCAGCTCCGTACCTAAACATGGTCACCGAAGTCTTCCCGCCATGAGCAATGTTGATCCCATCGATGTATCTGTAATCCTCGATCGTCGACTCCATGGTGGTCTCCCAAAAAACACTGTCGTTCCCTCTTATCGACTTCATCCTCACTAACTTCGTGTCCTCGAAGTGGACCAAGAGTCCTGTCCTCTGGCTGAAGTAGCCCCACACCTTGTGGTGGGAAAGCTCGGTGTTTGGTGAGCTCTGCGCTCTGAGAATATTTTGGTTTGCCTCAATCTTTAGCACAAAGCAGTCTTGGCCATTGATTGTCTTCTCTCCGATGCATAACGCATCCAGGAATAGGTTGGCCGTCGATCTTGGGTCCAAGCCCTAATCATACATAATGAAATTTAGTTAATATGATCCCCCAACCCCAATAAATTCATCATTGACGATGACAATTGTTTGAGTATTTCGATTTTCTGACATTTGATTTGAAGTTCTTTCCCTGGAAAATCTGATCCTTTCTGGTCCTGCAGAAAGGATCTTCAATCATTCCTGGTTTCGAAAATGACTTCTTCCTGCTTTATTTCCATGAGAACGCTCATATCTCACAAATCTAGTTATTCTTACCAAGATTTCGAACCGTGAAACTACCCAAGCCAGACACATTCACCGAGCATACTGATTTCTAAAGCCGAAAACCTGAGAGTAATCAGAGCGATCGAATTCCAACAAAGGATACCTGAAAGAAGCGGCGAAGGGGTCTCGGAGGACCACGATTGGCATGGCAAGGCTGAGAGGAAGACTGGTTCCAAGCGACTTTGCCATCGCTCCCCGCGCTCACCTTGAGTCCCGAGACCACCAGCTCGAGGTACCAGAGATCGGGGTTCTTCTGCCAAAGCACGAACCCGCCAACCTCGCTGCTCCCAGTGGCGTGTACGCTGCCATCGCCCTGCCGCATCTCAGACGCTGCCATCTTCACCTGCCCCACCGCGTACATGCTGTGCACAGCATTCAGCGCCCCTTGCCCTCCTGTGGCCGCCACGTATTGCTGAACTATGTACTGCGCAGTCGAGGCTTCCTGTTTATCATCATGTGACAGAGAGACTAACTTTAATTTCAATCTCAAAACAGTGGGAAAATACAGAAGAGAAAACATCAAACAATTACATTTGTAAGCCACGAATACTCTTTTATCATGAAAAAACTTTTTCTCAAGGTGCAAAAACGAAAGAAAAGAACATGACAATTTGCAAACAAATCGAACATGATTTCCTTAAACCAGTCGACACAAGATCTTCTTTTGGCGCATAAAGTTTTGCAGCGACCGAAGTCGAACGAAGAGCAAAATATTGCTTTCCAAACACAGCAACGAATTTATCGTCTGAGAGAGAACTAAGAATTCTTTCTTCTTCTTGTTTTTGGCGGGAAAGTTAGTTATGATAGGAGGTTAGGAGCAGGCTTACAATGGAGCAACCCTTGAGGGGTCGGGTCAGAGCCTGATCCGACTGGACCTGGAAAGGAATGAGAGGTGACCCGACGAGCTTGAGCAGGGCCATGAACTCGTTCCTCGACCCGGACGACAGATGCTGCTGCGGTGGTGATTCTGACGACGAAGAAGACGAAGCGTACGAACCAGAGGAGGAGGAGGAGGAGGACTTGTTGTAATAATTGACGGCGGAGGAGGACGAGGACTGGGCCTTCATCAGAGAGCGGAGGTTCTGCCACCTCAGCACGGCGTTGCTACCCATGCTGGTGAACATCTCCTCTGGGATAGGCACCTCCAGGACGGTGTCGAGCCCGTCCTCCCGGTCGAAGTTGGGGCACAGCTTCCTCATCGACAGCGATGACCAAGACGACGTCGTCGTCGCGTACATTTACTATCTGTTTATATATATACTTTTCACTCGAAGGATTTCTTCTTTTTTACCCTCCAATGAGAGAGAAGAAGAAGAAGAAGAAGAGAGGAAAGTTTCTTTCCCCTCTCTGAAATGAAATGTGCAAGTTTTTTTGGGATTGTTTTGGTTTTGGTTTTGGTTTGGTAAGGGAGGAGGGAGAGCAAGAGAGAAAGAGAGAGAGAGAGAGTTGCATTGCATTGCATTCTTTGAAGTTGACGTGCAGGCACGAATTCAGGGCTAAGTTTGGTCAGTTTTATTTTTGGGTAGTCAACGAGTTGGTCGTGGTCAAGAGTTTATCTACAACTCAACCGATTTAAGCCCTGGTCATTAAAGAAGACAAACAGCGTGGATTTCAAATTCCATTTCAATTTCTGTACCAGATTATCTCCTAATGATTGGGGCCAGATCAATGCAGCTGACCCTATTATTATACTCTTGGTAAGACGAGCAACGAAGAGCAGATGAACATCTTGGTTGGTCATATGCATAGAACGAGATAGGGACATATGCAGCATCCACCCTCTATACGTCGTACACAGCTATTAGCCTGTCTGGTATGTCTCCCGATTGGTCAATCAAATTCTTCAATGACTAGTCGAAACTAATGTCGCATGTCGATTAGTAGAAAATAATTTGACAGGTTGTGACTGAAACAAAGTCCGAAGACAAAACTGGAAAAGGAGGGAGGGAGGGGATGGGTGATCCTGCTCACACGGGGAGAGAGAGAGAAAGAGGGTGGCCTCACGATTGGTTGGGAAGAGCTGCCGACCCTCGCCGCCCAACTGACCGCAACCTTGCCACTAAAAGTGATACAAGACAGAGAGTGGTATCCAGAACCGTAAAAAGGGAGCAGAGAACAAGAAAAGGAAGGAAGTTTAGACAGAAGAATGCAGAGAGATGCAAAGAACTCAATGAGATTAAGACTCAACATCAATGTATTCAAATATCAACAACCAAATAGAAACAGTGGCTGGGTTCGTATTTATCGAGTTACCAGCAAAGAAACACTAATTCTAATAAGTAACAGATTTCTAAATAAATCAGAGATAAGAGAGGTCTCTAACAAAGATAGGATATAAATAAATAGAATCCTCAACCACTTTGAGAACAGGACTAGGTATCTCTTGGCAATTCAAGCTCATAAGCATCAGTACCAATCCCATGAGTCACATGGTATGGTCTAGTTGCGCCCCAGGCAAAATACACCTAACCATACTACATTGATTCTCTCCTCCCTCGGCATAATCAAGACCTTCATGGCATCCGTATCTTCAACTTCTGCATCAGCAGAAGTTGCCTCGTGTTCTTCCTCTTTGCCTTCCATGTCCTCTTGCCTATTTTCCATGTGCAAAGTCTTATGAGGACATCTAAATGCAATACGCCCTTTACTGTGACAGTCGAAGCATTTGAATTAGAACCATTAGGATGAACATTAGAGGACACCCAGTGACTATCCTTAGGAGCACTAGATTGAGTATTCCCTGTGGTCTGTTGAAGGAAACAGACCTGGACTGTCGTGAATTGCTGCTTAGGGAAGTTTGATGCCTATTGGATGCAGTCCTGTACTCATACTCTAAGGCCATCTCTTAAGCAAGCTTCCTTCAAAGCCTTGGGTGAATGCAGCTTAGCTTCACGCTTAATGTCAGCGTTGAATCCATTAATAAACCTAGTCAAAGTAGCTATAGGTTCCTCTTGCAAATTACAATGCATCATCAATCCATTGAACCTGCTCATGCAATCAGCAACACCAAGAGAAAACTGTTTAAGATTCCGAGCTCGATCCATTTACTGTCTCTTCTAATAGGGAGGAATGTACCTCTCATTCAACTTTTGTTTGATTGCAGCCCGAAAAGTTATGGGTTCCTCACCTATACACTTAAGGTTTATTCGAATAGACTGCCAATAATGCTTAGCGAAGCCAACAAGTTTCAACTTTGCAAAACGAAGAGCTCGACTGTTAGACATATCATACCGCTCAAAGAAATCATCTAGATCAGCTTATCCAGTCAGGAATGTATTGAGGTTCGGCTCTACTGTCAAAACTGCCTACTTCAATCTTAACCATTTTCGTGATATTCCCATCAAGATCTGGCTCGTACCTTGGTCTCTCCCTGACCGACTGCTCGTGCTCCTCTCCTACCCCTATGTCCATTGAATTCTAAACGCCTCAGATTCCTGCCTTGAGGACTCTATTGTCTAAGTAACTCATCTACGTCACGCTTGTGCCAACTCTCATCAACTCCCAAGATTAACTTCGCGTTCATTCCTAGTGCTAGGTTCACAAGGAAGGACATTCCTACAGGCTTCCGTGACAACAGCACTCCTGTCATCTAGAAAGGTTATAAAGCCTAGAAGGAAGACGCAAAATTCCTGGATCCCGAATTGGTTCAATGGTGAACAGAAAAGGAACGGGTCGTTTGTGACCTACACGCTGCTTGAAAGGTGGCACGAGTATCTCTGGCAAGGCAGCGATGATGAAGATTAGGCCAACTGAATGGCCACAATGGTGCGGGACCAGCAGAAGATGTGCTGCGGCGTGATCTGACGGTGTCATTCAAGAATCGAGTCACAAACTCGGACTGCACAAACGTTAGTTACCAAGTTAGTGTTGTCCGCATGCGGTGTTCATAACCACTTAATCTCGGCCACTCAATCATGTGATCCAGAACTTCTAAATGAATGAGCTCTGGAACATCCGGTGCAAAACTGTTTTTTTTTTTTTTTTTTTTGATAACCCAGGGAACCCCCGCACGGCCGACAGCCGGGAGGTAAACCCTGGGGGCGACACGTGCTAGCCACCACACACGTGCACCGGTTAAATCACCCTGCGGCGCCCGGGATTCGAACACTCAACCTTTTGCGAGAGGAAGAGTGCCCTTTCCAGCAGCGCCACCCAGGCGGGTGGTCCGATGCAAAACTGTTATAGGCCACTACACACAAGAACCGGAAAAACAGGACCGAAGTGCCCAGTTTGGAAAAACTCCAGGATGTTAGTTCACGTTCTTCATTTTATGAGCAGCATTTGGAGATTGCCCAAACAATTAATTGATCTGCGATTTCTCATCATGAGATCATCATTTCACAGCAATTTCTCGGAGTGCATTAGACAGGGCTCACAATAAATAAGGGACAATTCCACAAATGATTCTTGAACTTAAAAACTCAACGTGCAATGGTGTTTCTGAACTTTTAATTTATTCACTGTGGTATTTGACCTCTAACCTAATGTACAATATCGTTTCTATACTTTTCCCTAGACTTTGGATATATGTTCAATTTAATCCCTGATTTAAAGACGACATGCACATTTAGCACAAATTCATCAATCATTTGTGTCATTTTCTCCTATAAATAGAGAGGAAGACGAAAGGCGAGGGCAGCGGTGCACGAAGTAGACATTTCTTTTTGAACTCTCTCCTTAGATCTTCTTGCTGTCAGTGTTGTTGAATATTTCAACCAAATTCACAAAAACAAATTATTAGGACTAGATCAGCGGTTCATATACATATTGACGTGAGTAACTAGCTAGTGCCTTTAAGCCCTCCGTGACCCGTTCGTCCCGGAGGGTCCCATAATCTATCTTCGCAGCTTCATGCACAATGCACGACCCATGCAGAAGCAGGACAAGAGGCAGGTTCATTGTGCTAACCTTCTCATTTTTAATGTTTTATACACCATGTAAATCGATATTATCTTCTTAACCATTATATTATACGAGACCCATCATGGGTGAAAAAATATTATAAAGACTCGGTCCGTGTAGATCACCATCATCATACTTATTGAATGTGTGGGTTCCACTGTATATGATGGTGTTGGTCTATATAGACAGAATTTATGCAATAACTTCTCCATCATGGGCCCCTATAATCAACGGTGTAAATGGATTTGGCTAACGTGAATTACTGACCATACAGATATTTTTGTCTTGGCATAAGCGGCGCCTATTTGGGTTACGCTCAAATGCATTTCTTAGATTCGAAAAAAAAATCTCAAGTTCCCAATCTTTCATTTGAAAATTTAGGAAAATTACGCTTTGGATAGTGTTGTAAAATTAATGCGGAAACAACATAATCTTGCAAATCAAGTCAATGCAAAATCACTAGAGATATAACGAGGAACAATAGAGGACACAAGTGATTTATGTGGTTCGATTTGAGTGTCGGTACCTACATCACGAAAAGAGCCAGCAACAAATAATCCATTATAATAAGAGAATTAAAGTTACAATCGCTCACACGTTCGACTATTTCCCACACCTAGTTACACCCATATCCAAAGTATTTACAAACAAATAACTCAATTGATGTAAAATTCACAGCACAAATCACGAGTGTTCAAGCCCAAGCGAGAGCGAGCTGCACAGAATGTCTATGCATTATTTTATCACTTCTCGTAGCTGCTCCTCCTTTTGTTGCTTCTCGGCTATTCTCAAGGAAAGCCGCTCGCAGCTATCACCTAAGGAAACCCACTAAGGGCCCGTTTGGTTCAACTTTGCAAGTGAGCCTTGGGGGAATGCAAATACTTTTAGGTTAAATCCTCTTGGGGAAATGCAAATGGTGTTTGGTAAAAAATCATTTGTGAAGCTACTTTGGCACAAGTAGTATTTGACTTTTTTTTTTGTAAAGGGCTTTGGGATTTTCTTTTTTATTTAAAAAAAAAGCTTACCCTTCGCCGGAGCCGACGAAGGGCTACGGCCGCCGGTGAGCCAGATCATGCGCTGGCAACTGATAGCGCCTGGGCGGTCATTGCCTGGGTCGGGTGACCTTGCTGGCCCCTCGCCGGCCAGATCCGATGTCGTTGGCTGCCCTCGCCGGTCGCCCTTGCGCAAAGAAGATTAACAGTAAAAATGAGGGGCAAAACCGAAATATTAAAGAATAAGTGAGTGTAGTTTGGGAAGAAAAAATTGATTTCAACATTTGCCAAATGCTGAAAATCCAAAGCTGGTCCGAACTGAGCTTTGAGCATTCCCAATGCTGGCTTTCAGCCGAAAGCCCATTAGAAATGCTTGCCAAACG